AACCAACCTTCTTTGGACAGTCAGAGTATAGAAGAGAACCTTGCTTCGGAGAACTGTGTGTTTGCGAGGGACATTAAGAAGGAGGGTGCGAAGGTCTTGGAGGACTCTTTGAGATCTGAGAGGGATGCTTTGCTTGCTATCAGGGCGGGGTGTGCTGTAGACCGGCTTGAAAGACACTATAAAAGGTTGTTGAATGGCTGGGAGGCGACTATTAGGGAGATAAGCTCCAACGAGAAATACGAAAGTCTACGTCATGGGTTCGCTATTGAGGAAGCTCAAGTGGAAACGGAGATGAGGGATATGGAAAGACAATGGCCAAAAGAAGTGAATGCCTACAAAGAGTGTTTTGTTTCGGGTTGCATTGATAAGAAAAAGAGGAGACATATACCGGAGTCGAGCAAAGAACTTTTGGAAAAGGCATTTGAAGTTAAACGGTTCCCGAATTCGAAAGAAAGGGAGAGAATAGCAAGAGAATGTGGGATTAGCCCTCTCCAGGTCCGTGTGTGGTTTACCAACAAGCGAGCTAGGAGCAAGTCAAGAACACAGGATTGAAGCATTTCAGGATTCTTCATCTTTGTAGCTGAACTTTCTAATATCACCCAAGCGTTTCCTAGCGTGGGAAAGTGCGCTTTCTAGTTTGAGTATCTCAACCTGCTGTTCAAGCTCCGCTGTTCTGTTCTCGTGAGCGGTGAGTTGGGAGTAATCAACCGTGTTGTAGCTGTCGTCAGGAAGCAAAAGACTTCTGACCTTGGTGACCAGCATTTTGCATGAGGAGGTGACTTTCCTCGATGCATCCTCCAGGTTTAGATGGCTTTGTGACATCAAATCCGACTTGACACGGGAAGATGAGACTAGCTGCGCTGTAGCAGACGCAACCTCATTAGATGCAACAATTAGCTCCTCACTTGAGCTTGTTCCGGCTAAGACACCATCTGCCATTCTAATGAGTATACCGGTAGCGTAAGCGACTTGTTTGGAGGCAGATATCAAACCTTCGGTCCAGCGATTATTCTTTTTGTAGAATAGAGCTCTTGACATAGATCCCTTTCCACGAGAAACAATTTCTTCCTGTGCTTCCATGCAAGCTTTCAGCAGCAATCTGACAGCATTTATGATAGCACTGGCGCAAGAGATGATTGCTTCGTTCACCTCAAGTGAACCATCCTCCTGAACCTTCAGTTTGTGGCGGGTTGACATTGAGTCAAGTAAGCCAGCTGCTTTCTCAACTGCTGCTTGTGTGTTTGCAAGTTCCTTATCCAAGATAGAACCAAGTTCGTCGGAGGATACAGAGGCTCTACCAGGGTCTCTAAATACTTCGACGACCTGCATCAAGCTCTGAAGGACTTCTTGTACATTGATGTTGCCTGTGATGACTCTGTCAGTACTTTCCTCAATATTCATTTCTGACAAATGATTGCTAAGCATTGACTCGAAGAATAGCTCAACCATGTGAGCTAGGTCTTTTGACCCTTCAACGAGAATCTCCTGCACATCGTCCTTACGATCACGAAGAACCGCCTTTACATTTGAAAACAGATTACCTATCGAATCAGTAAACTCTATGAGAATTTTGATAAGGCCACTCTCATTTTCTCCCCTCATATTGTCTGCGATGTAATCTGTCATGCTGGTGGAAAACTGAGTACTCAAGTGAGAGACTCTCTCCAACAAAATACTCAGGTATTCTGCAGTTGGAATGTCCGTATTCGAGTAGACTGGGGACTCAAGGCTGAAAACAAACTCATGTAGACGATCAGTGCTTACCTTAAGCAACGTGTCTACCAACCGGTGAACTCTTTTTTCAGCTTCCTTTTCTATGGCCCGTTGTTGTTCTGCCAACTCTTGCATAGTATCGTCCATCGCTTGTTGCAACATCTGTAGTTCTTGGTGCGCCGCTTCATTCGTTCCACCTTCTTTGAGCTTTGAAGCATTTGCCTTGATTTCCTCAATCTCTTTGCTATGTTGCGAGAACACTGTTGCTAGGTTCTGGGAGTGAGTATCTTCGAGCGATCTTAACTTAGATTCCATCTCCCTCAGTTGCGTCTTGAGCAGCTGAACTT